CCATATACAAATTTAGGAATAATCAATTTTCTAGATGTGGTTCATAAACAATAAAAATATAAGAAGTTCATATGGTCTTTAAAATAAATACTAACCAAAAAGCATGATTGCATGATGATAGTAACTGATCTTGATTATATAACTTCCATTTAGGAGTTTGCAAAAGCAATTTTGTGTTAGAGCAAACTAATAATTTCTAGTTTTATTATATATATTTATGTGTATGGCTATTTTAGTTTTAAAAAGTAGCATGGTTTTAGCATATGGCAGCAATGAAACAGGAAAGGCCAGAAATGAACTTAAAAACATAAAGAAAACTAGTCAAAAGTAATTGAATGTTTACTCATCAGTAGGGAAAAGAACAGTTATTTAAGCAGGTTGTCTGTGACTCACTCCTGTAATTTAGCTACTCAAGAGGCTGACACTTTAGGATCTCTGTTCCAAAGCCAGTTGAGGCAAAGAAATCCTAGGGACTCTTCTCCATTTACCAACAATATGCTGAAAGTGACAGGTAGCTCAAGTGGTAGAGCATTAGACTTGAGGGAAAAATCTAAGCAAGAATATGAGGCCCTGAGTTCAAGACCCAGTACTGACACAAAAAAACCCAAAACAGTTATTTTTATGAACATTGTTGGAATAGCCAGCTACTATTCTAGATAAATTGTTAAATTTGACTTCTTTGAGGAGCCAAGATTTAAATTTGAAATAAAAAACAGGATAGTTATTTTTGATGTAATTCAGGAATGGGCAAGATCTTTCAGAGTATGAAAAAAAACAACTAAGGCTAGATTCTATATGGGGAAAGAAGTTGTGAATTTAAAAGGTAAACAGACTAATGAAATTTATTAGTGTACCTTTGACAAAATACTAATTTCATCCTAATACTCAAACAGCTCCTATAGTAATCCAGTAGAAAAATGGCAAAGAGAATTCACATAAGATTCCACATTTTATTTATGATGAAGATGTAAACTAAAGAGGGAAAGTGATATTTATCACCTCCTATTGGCAAAGATTGGCTACAGAGTATACCTTGAATTGGGAATAGGGAAAGCGAATGGACTGATAGGAATATAAAATATTCATGTTGTATGGAAAGTAATTTGGAAATAGTTTTCTAATTAAAAGTTCACTTTTATTTTATTTTCACATTTATTTTAAACTAGTAGTTCAACTCCAAGATTTTATTCCATGGAAGATTTTTGTATATGTCTCAGGTAAACATGTAAGAATTACATGTTTGAAGCATTATTTGTAATTGTTACAGAGTGGAAACAACCTGAACATAAATCAATGTGGAATTGGTTAAGTGAATGAATTGCTGTGTCTATTTAATGAGATATTAGACAATTCTTAAAAGTTGTGAGGCAACATACGACTGTGGTGCCATGTCTACATAAAACATAAAAGAAAAAAAAGCCAAATGAAAGTAGATTGCTGTTTTGTGTGGTTTAGAGATAAAGAACGAGATGTGTATTTATCATCTCTGGAAAAATATATGAGAATTTGGTAACAGTGACTGCTTCCAGTGAATGAATTGTTAATTAGAGGACAAAAGTAGACTTTTTTTTTCCCCTGTAGTATACCAAACTGATCATTTTTGAACATATATGTGTGTGTGTGTGTGTATATATATATATATATATATATATATATATATATATATATATTTACCATGTCTGTGTAACATCTATTCAAAGTGAGTATTTTTAAGAATGTTGTACTTTCACGAATTTTAAAGGAAAAACAAAAATAAGGCCATAATAGTTGTAAACAGTAGCAAAATGATTGCTGCAATATTGTTTATTTTTAGGTTTATAAGACGTCTTTGTAATTGAGTGCTTTCAACTGATGATGCTACATGGCTCACTGAAGGGTGGTTCTAGTGGAATGGGTCTAAAAGAAGGCTTCTTTGGGATTTTTATAAACACCATAAGTGGTAACCAACAGTTAATACTTGTGATGATATTTGCATTAAAGGAGATGTTTTACTAATTGGAATTTACTTTAGCAGCCAGCCACAGGGAGTGCAGCTGTCTCTTGTGGAAAAGGGATTGTGGAACTGCTCTTGGAGTTTGTATTCAGGGGGCCTGAGGAACATACCTTCCAGTGCAAGGTGCAGCAAATACAAAAGCAGAGAGAGTGAGCAGGGGTGAGGGAGATGGGAGGCAGCAAGCTCTAGGCCTGAATCTATATTCCCACCTACTGGATCCTTCTTGCAGTGTATTTGATGCACTATTTAGCTTGCTGCATGATAACTTCCTGATACTGTATATGCTCCATAATACATACATATTATATGTATGTGTGTATTTACATACATATGGAACATATATAGATATATATTGTTGAAGTATTATTCTTGATGTGAGAAGGTTTGAATTTAAAATTTATGTTATGAATTTTAGCATTACATATGTCAAATACCTACCTTTTCTTTAATTATATGAAAATAGACTTTTTATGTATATACCAGATAGATGCCTCCAGATGTCTTCCTGTGCTGAACATATATTAATTACAATATGAAAAGAGTTGGGAAACACCATTCTAGTCAAATTTTGTCATTATATATATGGAAAAAAAATTGTAGATAAGCAGATGCAGGGTTTTTCCCGTATCTGATGGTTGGTTGGTATCTGGCTGGGTTTGAAAATGAAATGAAGGTTAGGTCTTAATCTAACCTAATGGTAGGTCTCAATCTAACCTTCATTGCTTCATACTGACCCCCAAACTTATATTGAAGGAAGTAATTGATGATAATTAAAAGAAAAAAAATCACAGAATTGGAGCATTCATGAAAAGAACCTCATATACTAATTTAGAAAATTTTAAAGGCCTGTTGTCTAGCAGTGGTTAGACTCTTGTAGACTAGATTATAGTAAGATTCATTTTGTGAAGTATATGTGTTAAGAATAAATAATAAGACCAGGGGCTGGTGGCTCATTCCTGTAATCTTAGCTAAAGAGGAGGCTGAGATCTCATGTTTGTGGTTTGAAGCCAGTCCACTCAGGAAAGCCCATGACACTCTGATCTGAAATTAATTACCAAAGTTGCTGGAAGTGGAGCTGTGGCTCAAGTGGTAGAGTGCAGCTTTGAGCAAAAAAGCTCAGGGACAGTGCCCAAGGCCCTAAGTTCGAGCCCCAGGACTGGCACAAATAATAAAAAGTAAAATTTAGATATTGTAAGAGAAATTCTAGAACAGATCTAAGCAAAAATTGATGCCCAAATTGTAAGTTTTCCAAAATATTTTTAGACCCTTGAGATTCTTCCATGCTATACTTGTATTGTTTTTCCTTATTCTTTCCTTCCCTCACTGCCGTTTCTCCTATCCCTCTCTCCCTCCCTCTTTATTTTGTAATATTGGCAATTAAAGATAGTACCTCCCATTTGCTAGGCAAATACTGCTAGCCACTTGAGCCGTGCCATTTAAATTTGTTCTTGAGATAGGATCTTCCTAATTTTCCCCAGGCTGGCCTCAAAACTTTGATCCTTCCGATTCCACTGGGATTACAAGTGTGTGCCACTATGCCTGGCTTTATAATTACATTTTTCTTACTTTTTATTGGACTAGAATTCAATTAAAAACAATCAAAGTGAAATATAATTAGGGCTCAAATATGTTGGGTTTTAAGTAGAGTAGTTGCTATTGGTCCTAGATATTTCAAACTAATACCTAAAAATTCACTGAGTAAAAAAATTTACTGAGTAAAATATGGGATATGCTATAGATTATGTCACTTTGGTACCTCCTTGTTGTTTTAACATTACAGTGATACAAATGAAGAATCCGTGGGGCTAGTGTCAGTGGCTCAGCCTGTATTCCTAGCTAAGGGCCCCAGTAGTTTATGCCTGTAACTCTAGCTACTCAGGATTCTGAGATGTGAGGCTCTTGATTGAAACCAGCCTCTAAAGGAAAATCTGTGAGACTCTATCTCCAGTTAACCACCAAAAAGCTGGAGGTGGAGCTGTAGCTCTAATGGTAGAGCTCTAGAAATGCTCAGGACAGCACCCTGGCCCTGAGTTCAAGATCCAAGAATGGTACAAAAAAAAAAGTTGGAAGTGGCGTTCTGGCTCAAGTGGTAGAGTGCTTGTCTTGAGCTGAAGAGCCCAAGGACAGCGCCCAAGCCCAGAGTTCAAGCCCCACGACCGACAAAAAAAAAAAAAAGTCAATATGAATTAAGGAACAATGAACTTTGGATGAAATTAGGTTAACTTGAGATTTCCACGTCAATATAAGTAAACTGGAATGGCTATGTTAGGCAATGAAAAAAAAGTCCATTGATCAAACATTATGTTGGATACATTTTAGAGAACAAAAAACTTTATAAGATTGTCATAGTCCCTTAATTTTTGTTTCTATTCTTTTTAAGTTTTCCAGATAATCTTCTGTGTTTGTTCTAGTTTTCTGCAGATTTTTAAATACTTTAGCTTTTGAATGAAAACTCCTTTGTTGTTTAATTAGTATTAGTAAACTGGACTGTTTTCTGCAGCAGAAATTGAATGTATGCCTAGCAAAATGAACTCTGAGAAAAATGTATAGTAATTGTCATTGAAAAATTTATATACATATATATTTTGACCAATTTTTTTTTTTTAGGCAGTGGTTTTGGAAATACTAAGACTGAGGGCAATTACCTTGGGGGCAGTTATTTAATTCTCTTTGGGTTCTGAGTGCATTTTACTATATAAACAACTCCAATAAAAGAAAATGTGTTACTTAAAAAAATGCCTTGTCTAATAATATAACAGTTAAGAAGTTTTCTATTTTTCATCCACCTTTTAAAATTATAAAAGAAGTATAACAAGAATTAAAAGAAATTATTTTTAATATACAAACATTTCCACGTCAAAGTAATTTATATGTTAGGTTTTGTTTGAGATGCAAAATGAAAACTTTGTAAGCATACATGTTAATATGTGAAAGAATGTAAAGTTGAAACATGTTGGCATACTCTTAGTTTCTCAGAACAAGAAAATGACTAATCTAAATTTCATTTCAGAATAAAAACCAAGACAAGCCACATAAAAGCAACCTAAAAATTAAACTGTCATCATATTATTTGTTTTAAAACTATGGAATAATATATCTGAGGAAGATTACTCTCAAAATTGTTTTTCTCAATTTCAAGTAAGTAATTTGTTTTGGTTAATATATTGGGGGTGAGGGGAGTGGGGTGATCCTTGGCATTGAAATCGATAAATCCTATCATCCTTAAAGTAATAACTCAAATATCCACCTCTTGAAAGCCTCTGTGATTCCTTTGCCCTCTCTAAAAGATCGTCTCCTTGGTTTTCCAAGTCTTTAACCCCCTTCCATATTGCTATTAAAGGACTTAATACATTGAGTATTGTTTGTAGCACTAGTCACATAACACTTACCCTTATGTATCTCCCTACCCCAATACTTAATTTCACTGTCTTCCATGCTGAAAGACCCTGAACAAGTTAATTTTACTTCTCTGTGCCTTAATTTCCTTCTCTGTAAAATGAATTATAATTATTTCTATCCTACAGGATTTTAATGATTGAATAAGATAACCAGCAAATGTCTGGCATTTATAATAACAAATGTTATTTACCCTTCTATCTTCAGAATCTACCACATTATCTTAATATATTAAGCACTCTTTAAAATGTTTGAATAGATTGGAAAAGAAAAGTTGAGTTTTCAGCATTTATACATTCCTTACAAGTGTAAAGTGAAAAACTTACACATTGTAGGGTAAGACTTTTTATAAGGGGCTGTGACACATATATAGACTATATAGTCACCTGTGTAAAACACTCCAAAAAATTGGCTTTAGCCATGTGCTGGCTAGCTCACACTTGTAATCCTAGTTACTCAGGTAGCTGAAATCTGGAGGATCATGGTTTGCAAGTATTCTGGGCATAAAAGTCTTGAGATTCTATCTCCACTTAAACAGACTGAAGTGTGGCTCAGATAGTAGATCAAAAGCCAAACAATCCTGAGGCCTTGGGATTCAACTGCAGTACAGAGACATACACATACAAAAAAGAGTTCTGAGTAGGCCTGATGTTTTTTCTTCTTTTAAGCTGTTGATAGGGAAGTGGAGAAGGGGGAGTGTTAAGTCATTAATCAAGGAGTAATGTTATAGTTCCTTAATGCCGCAGGTTAGATTGAATGTGTTTCTTTTGAGAAGAGCCTTATTTTCACTAGCCATTAGTGTTTTTCTTCTAATGATGGTAAAACATGTTCAAATTGTATATACCAGATGTTACAGTAAAGGTGACATGTCAGTAGGGCTTTATTGCTCCTGTTTTTGCCTTTTGGGAAAAATGGATCCTTTGGCTTTTAGACCTATTGAGGATTGTGGAATGTAGGCCAAATGATTCATTATTGCCTAGAACTTCAGTTGTCTGTATTGTATCTTTTCTATATATTTCTAGACTTTGCTTCTTATAACCTCTTATTTTTTTCATGAAATAACAAATATTTTCAAGTTAATTTTTAATGTACTATTGGCTGATGATACTTAGGGTTTTGAAATAGAAATCATTTATTAGTTAAATACTTTAATTTTATATCATTTTATTAACAGGTGGTGGACCATTTATTGAGCCTTTCCTTACTGTCTGTTGTGTTCTAAGTGATTTAATCTTGACAATAATTTTATAAAATGAGTACTGTTATTCCCATTTACACTTGTGGCCTAAAGAGGTTAATGAACTTTCTTGTAACTAATATTGGCTAATTTTTACCTCATAGCATGTGAGAGTTAAATGAGAAAACATGTATTAGGCTGTTACCCATCTGATCAGGAGAAATAGAGAAGCAAAATCTGAGATGTCTCCTTACATTTCAGAATACATAGTAGCCATTATTGAGACACCACAGTGATCATAAGAATATTCTCATTCACCCTTTTTTTGTGTGTGTGTGTGATAGTATCCTAGTTTTCTATTTTTTCTTAGTCAATATTTTCTCCTTTCAAATGTGCTCATTTGGATTGATTGTTTTAGGTATATGTATTTATAGATAACGGTAGGACTTTAATACCAATCTAATATATTTTTGTAAATTTTAGTGTAATGAAACAAATATGGTCATCCCTTCACTTTCTTAGGCTCTGTATCCAGAGAGTCAACCAACATAGGATGAAAAATATTTAGGGGAACAGTATGTGTGCTGAATATATAGACTCATATTTTCTTTTTATTCCTTGGACAATAGGATATAACAACTATATCACTTATATTAGGTATTTAAGTAACACAAATGATTTAAAGTACATAGGAAGCAGTGTATATGTTTATATGAAAATACTGTGTCACTTTATATTAGGAACTTGAACATCTGTGAAGGGATCCTGGAACCATTCCTTAGGAGATATCAAAGAATAGCTGTATTTTCATTATAAAAATTTAAAAACAGAACAAATAAAGCAGAATTTTTCTTTCATCATCAGTCTGCTGTACCCTCCCTCCCCCACCATCAGCTTTTGCTGTTAACAGAAATGTTCCCCAAACTAAGTATTGCAAAGCAGTAGGCATTTGATTGACTACAGTTCTGGACTGGGCTGAGTTAAGCATTTCTGCTATTATTTCTAGGCTCATGTCTATGACTGCAGTTAGCTGATAGGTCACCTGGGAGGTGGTTGGTCTAGGGTTGTTTTACATGTAGCTCTAGAATTTGGTCCCAGTTGGTGGCCAGGGTGTTGGAGGATATCTCTGTGTATCTATAATACATGTCTCCAGTAGACTGGTCATGACTCTGTTATCTAAAGGCAATACTAAGATTTATAGGAGCAGCAAGAGAAGGCAAACCCCACTATTTTCTGTTGTTTCATTAGCCAGCACAAATCACATGGCCAAATACAGAGTTGGTCTGGTAAGAATTTCTCAATGGATGGAAGTTAGGGAGTCATTGTAATCCATTATACTACAATTGCTGGCTGACTTATTTTTTAGGACACATTTGGCAGTTTAATGGTGTAATGATTTTGTTTGTTTGTTTGTTTGTTGTTTTGCTTTTATGATGTTGGGGACTAAAGCCAGCACATGCTAAACAAGCACTCTGCCACTGAGCTATAACACCAGTCAATAGTGTTTGTGTAAATATATTTGATGATTCAGATTAGTCCCTTTTGTTTTTATTCCATTCTCATTCATCCCCAATATTGTTCACCTAACAGATATTTATAGGACATACTCAATAAGGTATCATAAAATGAACAACAGATATAGCAGAAATATTGTATCCGACAAGTTTTATGTATTTGCCTACCTGTTTGCTTCATGTGAACATAATTCTATAAAAGCAAATAATAACAACTAGTTGAAAATAACCAACAGTTCACACTAGGTTGAATAATGTGTGCTAGGTTTATCTAGATTTATCTTACAAGGAATTCTTTAAATATTAAAAATTGCAATACAGAGGTTTTAGTCTATTCCTAACAAAAATATGCTTTTCCCATGTGTTCATAATTATGTTCTCAAATACTTTGATCTTAACCTATCCAATGGATAAAACATGGCCCTCTGTGTAGTTTTAGTTTGCATTTCTTTTAGTAAGATTGTCTATTTTAGAGACATTTCTATTTCTTTTAAAATATACTATTCATCTTTTACCTGTTTTCCTACTGAGAATCTTAATATTTGCTTATTGATTCTGAGGTGTTCATGCTTTTATATAAACTGGTCTCTGTCTTTGACTTGAGTTGAATATGTTCTTCTCAATTTCTCTTTATGGCAAATACATTTTATTTAAATAGTGTTTCTTCATTTTATAAAAAAGTTGCGTCTTAAATGAAGCTTTTCAGGAACATTTGGATGAAGTTATGTTAAAGTTTAGGGCCCAGATTTATATACTTAAGCCTGTTATCCTAGCTACATGGAAGTATAAATAAGAGGGTCTCAGTCAAAGGTCCAACTGTGAAACACTGTAAAATTTAATTAAAAAACAAAATTAAAATTTAATTAAGGGAGGGGAAGGGGATATGGGAAGGGATAGGAAGGGAAACAAAGGAGGAGGTAACAGTGCTTGATAAGAATTGTACTCATTACCTTGCTGATGTAATTGTAACCCCTCTGTATGGTATTTTCACAATTAAAAAAAAACTGAAAAAAATTTAATTAAGAAACCGGCTGAGTATGGCTCAAGTGCTCAGTATTTCCAAGTTAAAAAAAATGCTAATGCCGGGTGCTGGTGGCTCATGCTTGTAATCCTAGCTACTAAAGAGGCTGAGATCTGAGGATCCATGCTTCAAAGCCAGCCCGGGTAAGAAAGTCCATGAGACTCTTATCCCTAGTTAACCACAAGAAAACTGGAAGTGGAGCTGTGGCTCAAGTGGTAGAGCGCTTGCCTTGAGCTGGAAAGCTCAAGGACAGTGTCCAGGCCCAGAGTTAAAGCCCTACAACTGACTCCTGCCCCCTTCCCCCCCCAAAAAAGGGTGCTAGGCATAGAACATGGAAGGAAAAGATTCTGATGTCATCATTTTGTATTAGAGAGCTTATCTTTTAAGACTGTAACTTAGAAAGTTTCTAAAGCATTCTGTTTCATTTTCTTTTTCTACTTTTAGATTTGTTTGTACCCTTGAGATTGCTACTTTTCATAGTGTAATCTGAGAAGTGAACCATCCTTTGGAGGGCTAATTTTAGATGGTGAGGTTGTACAACATGGGTGGAAATTAGAAAATACTTTGAATCAATTAGAATAAGTGTTTAATGCTATTTTGAATCTTACATATTTCACTTTATATGTGATTGATGTGCTTAACACATAAATATATGGTAGTAGTTTAAACAGTATTCTATACTTTAATCCTTTATCTTTCAACCAGCTCTTTATTAATCAACAACACACATAAAACACATATATGTATATGTGTGTATATGTATATATATATATATATACACCAGATGTATATATACACACATATATACACACATGCACACACACACACATATATACAAATCAGCCTGGAGATCACATTAAAAAAAGAAAGTGTAGCCTTTTTGCAATAGTTCTACCACTATCCAAACAATATCTCATTTTTTGTAAGATTGCACAGAGCTAGGAAGAAGGCATTAGCTATCATCAGTTACCATATGCAGCATCTGACTATGAAACAATTGTCTCTGTCTTAAGTTCTGTATAAAATGAGA